AGTAAATTTGGCACGTGCTATCTGTCTGAAAATCCCTACGAATGTCCATATTAAAACATCGAGGCCTAATAATATTTCGTAGCACGAATATTTACATTTTGTTTTTCTCTCTCGTAAAGAAACACGCGTTTCATTAAATATCAAAAGATTAGATTGTCATCGTGCGCGGAAATTAAAGCGCAGTACCCCTAAAAATGTGTCTCTCATCAAAATTCGTTATGGCGTACATCGGTAGTTTTGATATGAATACTGGGAAAAAAAAGATTTTCGACAAACGAGCGCGAAGAAGGGAAGGTGGACAGAAGACGCCAGACTAATAAAAGAGCTCACTCTGACATTACTGTCGCGGCAGACGCGAGTGGATACTCGTTTATTCGGAGATATCTGCGGTAGATCTCTCTTTCCTTGACGACGCACGGGCAGATACGCGCGACGCGGTCTTTTATTTACAACGACAATGACAAACGTAACGACAATTCATGGTTATACGTGTTCCCGGCCTCTGTCGCCGTCGTTGTCGGCCATAACGCGCGACGTCGTTTTTGTAAAGCGCGATAAGAATTCGAAAAGAGACCCAATAAATCGCGAGGGAAACGCACAGGTTCCAGCCACAAAAATCTACCTGATGAAAATGGTAAAAAACAAAACTAGGATGACAGAGAGTGCGGTTGAATTTTTTTTTATAATGCATGTTTGTATTTTAACTCGGACGGGAAAAGATATATTAATTCGTTAACACGTAAAATATGGGTGTTTATAAGAACGTGTTTTTGCGGAAGAACATCACTCACTAATTTTCTCGTTAACGAACATCAATTCGATGGCGACTGGTTAAACTCTAAGCAGATATATATGGATTTATGGATACATGTTTGGTGTGTGTCGGTTATAAAATGTTATTCATATAAATGTTCAGTCAAGTACAGCGATAAAACAGAATCTATATATTAGCAATATTATACGACAGTTACATTCGACAATACATTTGCGTCCAACATGTATTACTATGCGTATTCTATCAAACAGGTTCATTTATCAAATGCAATGTGCATTGAGGGCTTTGCTATAGAAAATTGTCTAATTGCTTTATCAATATATACACAATTAAATAAAAGCGTCGTGTATCGTACTACATCAAATTAAAAAAAGAAACACAGGTGGCAAATTTCTTACATCAGTAACTTTCATTACTTATACTTGGACAAAACGCAAATGATTTTGAATTTTTCATTTTTCTTTATTGTTATATTTTAGTATTTTATTGTATTTTTATACATTTCATCTATATGATCTTGACCGCGTAGAATTTCCACAAGAATTAATTCTTTAGATTGAGACGTCGATGTATTTTCTTCAAAGCAATTTTTTTGTTTAATTATAATTTTATATATTTGCATAAATATAACTTTTAAACATGTGGAGAATCGTAATAAAGAATCGTTTATATAGAAGAATCTGATAAGAATGTCATATTAATAAGGTCTTTGTTATTATGTAAGGCGGCTGACCCACGCTAATTTTTACTACTTAAAATTTGTGTCGGAGTGAACCCGTTTGTATAGCCAAGATATTATGTGCATGTGTGTGTTTCTTTAAAGACCAGTAAGACCTGTTTTATAATACGTGATGATAGTAATTTAATTATAACGCTGTTTAATCCTGTGAAAATCGTTAGCGACACAACAGATTTACTGCTAATGTAAGAATCTTTACAAAACTGAGATAGAATTTATACACAATATTCCATACGCATGCAATATTTTATGAATAGATAATATATTACTTATCTATTCTATAAATTTATTCTATATAAATGGAAAAATTATTTTTATTACAAAAATTATTTTATCTCATTTATGTTATTAAAAAATATCAATCTGTTTATATTCATATGATGCTATTAAAAATATTTTCTTTTTCATATTCCAGTCAATTTTTGCAACATGTTACTTTCTTCTTTATTCGCGATAGCAGTAAATAATCGTCTGTATCGACGCCTAAACATGATTAATTGCAATTTTAATACAACATATTAATGCCAATTAAATAGTGATTATTAAAACAAACTCGAATGCTGCATTTCGCACAATAAATTAATAATAGCTATCCATAGCTGTTTTCTGGTCAACTAATCATTGATTTCAATCGATGCTCCCCTCTTCCTTCTTAATGACACATCTCATTATCGAAAGCAATTGAGAGCCGCAAATTTCGCGCGGGAATAAAATTTCTCGCCTTAACGAACATCATGTCATCGCTTCATTAATAAAACTAGTTCGAACGAAGGAATTTCACTTGATAAACAATCCCTATACCTATGTATCTGCGGCTCTCTCGCTCTCATCTCCGTCTCGTCCTTTCTCATCCAGTATGCGGGTACTTGCCCGCGAGTCTCTCGAACCGATCGGTCTCGTTATAGGTACTAGATCGACACTCAGGATCGTTTATGGGCGTACGACCGAACGACCGAAGATGGAAAAATGAACGGTCAACGACGAGCCGGTCGTGAAACTATCCTCTTATTTGCGCTTACACGAACTTCGGGGCGCTCTCCTCAACTTCGGTAAAATCGCCAATGGAGACGCCCGAGGTGAAACTTTCGAGCGACCGGCCGGCTTCGATCGAGAGAGTTCGTGAGAAAAAAAAAGCGAGGGAAAGAGAGACAGCGAGAAATGCGGAGAGAATCCGCGTTTTCCACGCCCGAGGTTTTGTCGCGAAACCGGCGAATCAATTAATCAGTCCGCAATTTGCGCTGATAATATGACACGTCTACCCGCAGGATGCTCGCAGCAAGGCTTTCCGATCGTCTTTACGATAATCTCGATTCTTTTTATATTATTGGAAACGTAATTAATAATAATTATTACTCAGAATGTATTTCTCTCAATTAAAGAAATAAGAAGGCGCGCGCGATAAAGCTTCTAATAAATTAACTTTTACGAGATGAAGGTGCATATATATGTTTCGATGGATTCTTCTCAGAAAGGACACGTCGAAATTATACGTATGATTCAGGCGATCATAATTCTCCTCATGTTTCGCGTGCTTATAAAATATCACATAAGTATACGCAAGAGATGTTGAAACGGGAAAACCCATACCGTATTTAATGATTGTGGATCTTTTTACCGGAATATCAGATCGACATAATAAACTAACTGGTAACATCTCGGTGAAACTTTCATCGAGTTTCCATTCGGACAAAAAAAAGATCAGCAAGGTACCAGGAATCTGTGTTTTCCACGCCTGAGGTTATTTTCGAATGAGCGATTTATTCGTCCCTGCCAGCGGGGACAATATTAAAACGTCAAGCGGATTTCTCTTTCTTCATCGTCGGACGTTTATAATGTCCGTGCAAGATGCCCCAGAAGGCGTCAGTGGTTTTTGCATTATAAGCGTCCAAGGATGAAGAGATTCTGGCAAATTAAGACAGCCTTCTGCTTAAGTCACTTTCAAGTGAAGTTTAACGGAGTTTTAATTTCGAATGTATTTGCTAAGATAATTAATGTTAAAATTAAAATATTGCATGCGTAAAAGAACATTGCACCAAGTAATTAAAAAAATATGTCAATCTCGTATGTCAGATTGTTAATTAAGCCATATGCGTGAATAAAAGAAGCCATTATTGTTCGTTCATTCTATATGTAAACCGCATGTTCTATAATTAGTATATTTTATACATATATTTTTGTATATCTATATATTGGTTACACTATTTTTTTTAATAATAATATGTGCATATTGAGCATTACGTAGTAAAATATAATAATTAGCATTAAAATTTTAATTCTGGAAAGTCACAAATCTGTAAACTTTCTCTCTTTAACGAGCAACAACGTACACCTATTTCGATCGGAGATCTTTTTTTAATTACCTTAGAGTATGTAATTAAGGCAACAAAATTTTTTTATTTTCCTATGCTATCGTATAAGTATGCAAATTTTCGGATGGGGCTCTTAGCACAGATTTATACTTTCTTATCGCTGTCATCGAAAATATGCTAAATAGATTCCGCGAGAAGACAAGTTTATTTAATCCACAGCTCGTCATTCAACGCGATGCGCAGCGTGAGATCCTCAACGGTGGTATAACATCATCAAGAACTCTATAGTCTCGATTTGCACTTAGGCAAATGCATATACATTAATGTACGCATTTTAAGATTTAATTATACATTTTAATTATGATAACGTATCACACGCATCTATCATCGTACGCATCTATAAAACACTCATATATGTTGTGCAATATTATCGCATGAAAAGAATATCTCGCGGATTATTTTTCGAAGTAATTACGACTGTCACCGGAAGAGAGCGAGCAACTATCCTCAGCTACCCTTGCAGCATATCTAATCCTAGAAAACGCCCGTTCTCTCTCTCTCTTCGAATCGCGACTGGTAGGGATAAAACGCGATCGCGACGCGTTAAATGTCCCCTCGATGAAGTCACGCACGCACTCACGCATCTAGAGAACTAGACGGTAGGAGAGGGAAGAAAGGAAGGAGGGACATGAGGACAAGACGCACGCGTGATGGAGAAAGAGAACAGCGTTGAGAAGGGGTACGTAGAGAAGAAGGCAAAAGACGAGAATGGCAGAGAGAAGAGAGAGAGAGAGACAAAACCGTCTAAGCTGATCTACCTGAACGAAGCTACCAGTGGTCGTCGTCTATGGGCGACACACGGGGGTAACCCGTACACTCGCGTGCCCGTCCGCGACGGCGGCACACGCATACGAAGTAACACGCGCGTATTTCTATACGCGCGCGTAAAACGACAGAGCGCAACGCACTATCGCGCTCGTATGGCGGCGATCAAGAGCACGCGTATGAGAGAGAGGTCAGATAGAGCCGCTTGTATAGAGTGGGGAAGAAGGCGGGTCTGCGGCACGACACGCATGCACGAGTACATACGTACATAGAGAGCATACATAGGGACACGCGTGTGGGCATACGCACGCACACACGCGCGACCCACCGCACGAGCAAAGCTCACACTTACCTGACAAGATGTAAGTTCAGAAACTGGAAGGTGCCACTTCTGCACAGTCCAATACAAGACACCGAACCGGAAAGTTCGTCCGAAAATTAGTCGACGCGCGCGACAACACCTCCGCTCGCAGTAGTGCAGCGGGACCAAGTGTGTTGTTGGTGGCGGTGGTGGTTGTTTGATCGTGCGGGACCAGAGGTAGAGAAGCGGAGGAAAAAAAAAAGTAGGAAGAGAAGAGGACAGCAGCGCGACGAGTCGCCTCCGCTGCTCGAAGGTAGAGAAGCTGGAGGTGGAAGAGGAAGAGACGGACGAGGAGGTGGAGGAAGAGGAAGGAGGAACAGGAGGAGGCGGCGGTGGTGGAGGGAAAGAAGAAGAAGACGAGGAAAGACAGAGGATGAAGTGGACAGCGAAGGTGGAGGCGCGATAACGAAATGACCGGAGATACGTGAAAACGCGCCGAGACACGGAGAGTGACGGTGTCGAGGTAGAGAAAAGTGCGTCGACGGTGCGAATCGCAAAAAGGGAGGAAGAACGGAGGATCCTTCCATTCGCGAAGAGCGTAATTAGACCGATCGCGAGTGATACCGTATATCAGTGCCACTGTAATATCTCTTCTCCGTGGTTTTTCTTCTTCCATTTCATTCATCTTATCGATCGCGAGGGATCTCGTTCATATTTACGATGGTGTTTTGCGTAGCACCGCCGTCGTTGGCCGCAATGATCACGACGATGACGACGATAAAGATGATGGAGACGAGGGCGATCATCGAGAGGCATCGTATACGTATTGGATGATTATCATATTAATGAATACACGCCGCTAGTCGACCAGTCAGTTCGCAGGATCGCCGACAAGGAGGAGCTTTCGCGAGTTCGCAAGCTCGAAAAATTCATCATCGATTATTGCACGATTCCGCGCAAGAGGATCGGGAGAAACTTTTGAATTGCGCGAACACAACGTGTTTGTGATCAAAAACGCGTGCGGAGGAAAACCCAGTGCTCCGAAAACCGAGAAACAGAAAAGTTGTGAGTGCGTGATTCTTGGCTCCTAAATTTTCGGAGCTTGTGCTAGCAACTTGGATATTCAGTACTATTATCGTGTCCACTTGGATATCCGGCAGGATACGTCCAAGGCCTACCACGCCTGCAGTTGGACGTGTCATGTTGACAGCCCGATAAAGCGCACCCGTGAGTCTTTATCTTCGATTGAATTGGGATTTCGATGGGCGCATGCGTAGGCGCACCGGATTTCTCTTTCGATAGGACCGCGCCGGGTATCGGTATCGGGAATAAATTAACAGCTCGCGAGCGTCTAAAACAGGGATCGAGAGAAACCGGTACAATTTCGATGGGTTTGTACAGAAATTTCGAGATATCGTGTCGACATGCGAAAATAAATAAAAAAAAATGTGTGATGATACAACAATGCGCGCCAATCGAATTAATTCTGCCAATGAAATTATAAATAATTATTTGTTTATTTTTTATTTAATAAATTAAACATGAGATTGCACGGAAAAGATAAATAATTATCAATTATATGAAAAATATTGCGATTTCGCATATATCTCGATGTAAAGAATTGTTCCGATTGTATCTTTCTCTATCTAAAAGTGAAAATTAAACTCGTCGCAATTATATTTAATTTCAATGCCTCGCGGTGATTGCAATGCGAGTGGTGGTTGTGCGTTTCGATCGACCTTGAGGTTCGTATAGACTCTTTTCGGACGACGGTATCGGGACAGCATTCCTTCCGATGTTTTGCAATCCAGTTTATAATGCACGATCGACAATTTATTGCCTGCGGGAAAAGTATAGCGAATCCGTATAGTAAATTTTGTTAAATATGATAAGCTGATAAAAAATAAGCATACTTTCTATATGGGATATTAAGTATTTTAATTAAAATAATCTCTGTTTATAATTATTATATTTTTAATATATAAACAAACTCTACGGTATGTTTAAAAAATAAGGCCATCTCGATAAAAATTTCACTAAAGCGATATACGAATTTCGGTAAATATGAAAATCATTAAACGGTTTAAAATTCAAATTATTATGCACACGTGGACTTAATATCATAAATATACGATAGTTTTAATCGGAATTGATGTTGTTCATAATAAAATCTTTCATCATAGAAGAAATGACAGATATGTAAATTTTATTCTTGCACGCGGACTGAATATTAATGACAATTCTTTATCATCTTTAATCGTGCTACGTGAGAAACATTTTCATATGCGAATAATTATTTTTTCTCAAAATGAATTTTTTAACATCAAAAGTGTTTCTCTCTCTCTCTGAGAAATAGAATTTTCAATAAATACTCCGGTACTTTATCGTCGACTGTCTTGAATATATATTTTTATATATATATATTACCGTGTATCACATTGGCACGTCCTTAATTTTCTCGTTACATGATCAGCATTTTTCATAGTATAATCATTTCAAAGCGGGTAATTATCAAGTCATTAAGCAAACAGACCGGCGTGTAACGAAAAACGGTACATTTCCCAACAACAGTTGATAATATCCAATTATGAATACTGCATTCGCTTCGATGTGTCTATCTCATTTTATCACTCATTTTCGCCGTAACATTTTTGCGTGAGAGACGAGTCGCGTAATAAAAAACGCCGCATAAATAAACGAATGAGGAAATACCGAGCGGAGTGAGCGCGCTGCTTTACGTCATCGAGAGAGACGAGGTTCAGATTGTCTCCGATTTTACAGCGTGTCTCTATCATAGTCGGATATTTATTTCACGCTGCCGCGCCGTGTCGTATTTCCCGGTGTTTGACAACTGCTCGTCGACACTCTGCAATTTTTCTGTCCGCGCGGATGACCCCACCGTTTAATACTTATGCGAATCGTCCAGCCCGACGCTAAAACGTCGGAATGGGGTCCGAATTTCCCATGGACTGCGCGCCTAATTATGTGTCCATGGGACACTCGTTCCATTATGACAGCGAGCATTGCTGGTTACCCCTTTTATGCTAAGTGAGAGCGAGCCAATGGATGACCCTCCGAAACGGGGTGACCATCCGCACTTGGACGGTCGCTCTCCCGGACACGCCGGACACTTCCCGTGACCATCCCTGTACCTACAAAGCTTCCTTCGCGCCTTTCACTGTATAGGGTGACCCTCGAAATCGCGTTGGGCAACACGCCGGACTATACGGCCTCGCCGTGCTCTTGGCCGAGGATTACGCGTTAAACCCGATACGGTGTTTAATAACGCTATTTTATTTATTCGAATTTAGCAATGTCCTCCTTCTTAAATCTGTCTGAGTATAAATAGTGTAATAATATTATCGTACTTTTTATTACTGTAATGATAAGGCATAAAAGGGAATATAATCGCCGATTCGCGAATATTATACTAAATATCATGCAATTATTATTGATATTTAAAGAATATATATATGCGAAAAATATCTTGTATATTATTAGCATGAAATTATATATAATGTCTATTTTTCACCTTTTAATAAAGATATATTTTTCGCGAAATACGCTACAAAACATATTATTGACATTATTTGCTCGTATTATTATCGAGATATTATCCACTCTTCGCATGCAAATGTCTCGTTATTAATCGAAACAGCATAATTTCATGATTGTAATCAACAAAATAGCAATAGGGAAAATCGCGCTTCAGTATTGATATACATATATAAATCTCGATACTCGCATACATCGCAAAAACGTCAACTACTTTGATGTACGCGGTGCGTATTAGCTCTCTGAATTTTAGATTTCATAATGGCAACCTGTCGCGCGCGCACATTCGCGATGCAAATACGATCCAATTTTCTAAAGCTCATGCACGTATACACACCTACGGAGAGAGCCACGTTGACGACCGCCGGCCTCTCGCAAGGCCGATGAACACCGGCGTTGCAGACCCCGAAAGCCAGGCAAGTCAGTCATGCAGGAAAGTTTAATGACTACTAATGGGGCACCCTGTATGCAGGTAAACGCGCAAGGTCCCACAAGTCGGCGAACGTCCGTTGAAGCCTCGAGCGATCTCAGCGACGGTAATTCGTGATTCCATTGCGGGAACACGCACGCGAAGATACGATATAGGGAAAAAATCGAGGATACACAATAAGGAAACGACGAGATTGACGACGACAAATCATCGTCATCAACGCCGATCGATATCGTTGCCCGAACCCTACTAAATTCATCGGTAATTCCGAATGAAAAAAATCAGCGTCACATCGCGAGCTCTCTTAATGCGGCTGTAAAATCGTTCCGAGAGATTGATTATTTTTAACATAATAACGATGTGAGATTATCATAATTATTGCGCAAGATAATTGATCGGCATTGGAATCGCCGGTTTCACTTTATTCTTGCACAGATGTGCGGGAACAACTCAACCCTTCACCGAGATAGCTCGATCGATCGTTTCACGAATAAGATAACGTTACGCTGCGTGTCGAGTCATGCGACAATCGACGCACCGATTCTTGCACCAGCCAGTGTCAGTATCCATCGATGGTGATTGGACATATTAGTGCGGCTTATCGCGATCAGATCCGTGTTTCGCGAAAACAACCGGAGAAAAAAACTCATAATTAGCGCGACGCGCGTGAATAGGCGCGAGGCGCCGCCGTTGTCGTGTCGCTTATCGCGGATAACAGTGATACATAAATAATCGATCGTGACATTTGCACTGAGAGAGCGTGTTAATTTACCGTTCTCTGCGGCGCGGTGGGCAGATCGAGCGCGGGAAAGAAATCCGGTGGCGCGAGAGTACCGTAAAGCACGAGTGTCGAGACCGTCGTATTTCACGCCGTAATTAAGTAACCGAGCAAAATGAAAAGCTGCGACATAATTGAAATGGCCGCGACGCTTCGAACAAATTTAAACGTCCGCGCTGAATGATACATCGCGAGGCGAAGCTTTTCCCGCTGTAAATCAATCGCGATAACACACGTTCGCGTAAAATATTCGACGTGAAACAGTAATACGTATATCGATATAAAATCCAAATGCATATGATTAGTAAATAATTAATAATAATAAACGTTTAAATTTCAACGGGCAAGTAAGAGTCAGCTTTGAATATTTGTGAATTTTTAATATCTGCTGCTTCTTTAATGAGACGGAGAAGTTTATTAACATACGTAAAACCTCGAATTGAGATTCATTCAATTTCTTGATATCAAAGAAAATTATTATTCCGTAAAGAAACAAATCAGTTTGAACGAAAA